GAGCGCCGTGTCGAATAAGCTCCAGAGGGCTTGTACAATGTGCTGAGTCTGCGTTTTCAGGGGTCAGACAATCCTGAGGCTTATCAGCGCGGAAGTGCGGACTTAGGAGAAACGGATGCCTCAGTGGCACATGACGTGGACTCACGCCTGTGGCGCTCTCACTGACGTGTTTGTTGACATGTCTGCTCCGTGTTTCCTGACGCTTTTGCCTCGCTGCACCCACCCACGCACAGACCAACAGTTCCCTGTATAAAACACTGTACCTGCTGTCTCTCATCCTTGGTCCCAAGGGTTGTGCCTTTGACGGCGCTTTCTCAAAGATGCATGGTGAGCACTCCACCTGATGCTGTAGTAGTATTACATTAAACCTGGACAACACTCGTGTGCTCCTTTACAATGTTTCGGGACAATTGTCCAGGCCTAATGTAATGGGATTTCAGGTGGCAAGCTGCCTGCCATGAGCCGGGCTGAGCTTGAATGGCCTGCCCCGGCATCCCGGCAGGCAGGCAGGGATCGGGGCTAGATCTGGTGCCCCGGGAATAGCCTGGGGGGCTAAGAATAGGCTGGCTGATCATCCAGGCACTGGGTGGCTCCAAAAAATGCGCAAAAAGTCGGATAAAATCAGAATATATTGGTGGGACCCGGACTCCACATATTAGTGCTATAACTTGGGAAGTATTCGGCGCTGCGCGGCACGCCAGGTCTGATTCCTCGTAAGGTAAACGAGTGGCAAGGGTTCTACAAGTAGGTAAATAGTCTTTCTAGCCTCCCGGGCACTGCGCGGCATCAAGAATATCATCGCCTCCAGCAGAAGAAGAAGTGCCGGAAGAGGGAGGATGAAGCCAAGTCGACTCTACTTGGGTCACAAGGCATGCATAGTCTTAAACAGAAAGAGGTCTCGCTGAAGAGCAAGGCTGGCGTGCATGCTGTTCCCATGAAAGGCGACCAGCAGGTGTTTCACAGATGGAAGTCCGGCTACCAGGGTGTTAACCAGAAGGCAACCCCGGATGCAGGCTGGGAATACAGGCTGGATGATCCTGTGATCAAGGGCATGCAGTACGTTGAATGGGATGGAGTGTAAGTCTATCTATAGTTTCAGCTATTACTGACCTTTGACGTGAGCCCTGTAGAACACCCAAGGCCATTGCTGACCCAGATTGTGATGGCCGGGTCCTGGTAGTCCTTGCTGGTGCTCCCCGTGAGGGCTGGGATGAAGTTTGTCAAGGAGCTTCCGAGGCCATGCTCACTGCTGGCAAGAAGTTCAACTGCTCGGACAAGAAGAAGGCTCACCGCTGGGGAGTTTTCCCTGTGGCCACCACAGGTATATCATATGGAGGTGGACGAAAGGTCAGTCACATCTTCTCTATTGCCGTGAACTGGTATTGATGCAATAAAAGGCACCAGGCAATATCCGAATCAATGGTGTGATCAATCTCCTCATCATCCGCTCACTGCTTGACAACTCTTTCATCCAATCGATTGTAGGTTTTGCGAACCGTACATTGTGCCTTCATGCTCCCTTTAACGCCTTGCTAACAGAGACCCTGCAGAGGCCTTTGATCTCTATGCCCCCCGTCTATTCAGCTACTATGTCAACATACTCAACTACCTATGTGAAACTGACCCCAGGCTTGAGCGACACTTTGCAAAGTCTGTGTTTGCATGTTATGCTTTCAATTTGGGAGGCAAGGTTCGATCGTGGGTTCATACTGACCATTTGAACCTTGCTTTCGGATGGTGTAGTGTTACAGCCTTGGGTAATTTTGATCCAAAGAAAGGTGGCCACTTAGTACTGTGGGACCTTAAGCTGGTGATTGAGTTTCCTCCCGGTTCTACCATATTTTTACCATCAGCTCTCCTACACCACTCAAACATACCTGTACAGCCTGGAGAGGAAAGGCTATCTTTTGTGCAATGGACGGCTGGAGGATTATTTCGGTGGGTGGACTTTGGGTTCAAGCCTGCTGGGACATTTGCCAAGGAAGTTGGCAAGAAGGCGGCTGATGAAGCCAACAAGGCTCGGTGGCAGGAAGGTCTTAACTTACTGCCTCGATTGTCCGAAGTCTCTTCAACGTCATAGTAGTTCAGTATATTAATTGAAGGATCACTATTGCACTTAAGCTTCAGAGCCACTATTCTCATCTAACCGCACCTGGCTACCCTCTCCATACAAGTCCATAAAGTGAGCGTACAGACTAAGTCCCTGTGACCATGAGACTGCTCGAGGCTGCCAAACTGCAAATGGGAGAGGGATATCTATGTACTTATGACCACTCCGGATGGACTGGAACTCAGGATACCCATCTCCATCCCACTCAGCATCATGAACCCCAAATCCCTCAGGAACAACTTGCTTGTCTCGGAGCTCCTGTAAGGCAGCCAAGAAGGCAGTTGTGACTTTGGGAGTGAAAGGACTATCAGCTGCGGGAACGGCAACAGGGTCATGACGTATATGGTGCACTTGCTCATGGGCAATGTGGCTGTCAAGGTCTTCATCGGAGTCATCTTCATCGTCCGAGTGACCAGCTCCAGTCTGACCATCATGGACAACTTCATGGGCAGAGTCGGCACCATAGTACTGAATTTAAGATATCAGGATGGACATCCTGGAAATCGTCGTAGACTCCATGCTCCAATTGACCAAGAAACCATAGATCCTAGAGCAAGAACATATATAAAGTGATCTTGGAATACTCATAGCCACTCACCAAAGGGGTTTGGTCTGCTTCTCCCGATATCGGGTGGTGGTTCCAGTCTTGTTGAAATTTCGCACAGTCGTCACGGATATTGTGAAGAAATAGGGTGTGCAGTAGCCACAGATGACCAGGGTCTTTTGGATTCAGCCGATGAAGATGTTCTAATCAAGTAAAGAAAGCCCGACATTACCTGCCAAATTGAGATCCGACTTCAACCCAAAGACATTCAATGCGAGTGTTCCAAGTTGAGCTGTATACTCTTGGTCACTTCTTTGGATGAGAGTCAAAGGAAGACTACTTATCCTGAGGAAATTAAGGCGTTCCTCCCACGGTCCTGCCTTAGGCGGCAGGCGCGCGTGGCAGGCGTGGGACCGGCACCCGCCGGGGTTTAGGCGCCCCCTCGTGCCTGAGCGGTCATGCGTGCGCGGATGTCGAGATGTCGACTTGCCGCCGCGTGCGGTCTTGCTCGATCGGTTTGGGCTCTGGGCGTCCCGTCCGCCTCATCCGTCCCTTTCGACGTCCACCCGCTGTCTCGCTCGTCACTGGTTCGAACGATCGCCCCAACCGGCTTGCGCTAGGGACTTATCGTTCTCGCTGAGTGGTTGTTCGTTCGTAACGCCTGCAGCTGCGGACGTGTTGTCTGCTTTACTTCGAGTCCTAGGTCGCGAAGCCGCTCCCCTCCACTATCCCCGGATGCCTGCTTCAATATGCTGCGCGGAATGGGTTTTATATTTCTGTGTGTATTGCATTGCATTGTTGTAAAGGTGCGATGTCTGTCCATGATATTACTCTCTTCTCTTGCTTCTCGCAGACATCTTGTGTTGCTGCTTGCCGCTCTCGACCCACCCTTTCGTTGGGCACATCATATATTGTATAGGAGCATGTATTTTACTGTATAAACTATGGAGTTATTGAATAAACTATGCAAATCGTATGTTACATGCATTAGCCCATGAGTAGCATAATAGCATCATAATAGCATCAAACCCCCCTTGCATGGCTTCACGCCGACCCGAAACGTCTTGCCCTTTCATCCGGCGTACCGTTCTTGCTGCGCCGTTGCTTGCACTGACCGCGGACTGCACGCGCTATTCGGATGGCGTGCAGCAAGCGTACCACACCCTGCGTATGCTCAGGGTATGCGGCGATGAACTTTGCTTCGTCACGATCGTAGCTGTGTCCGTTCATCAAAACGTGTGACCGTACCGGTGAATATAGCACTCACGTATCGATGAACTCGGTTGCAATTAACGCTCGCTGCTTGTAAATCGACGCACCACCCTGCTTGATTTGTTCCGTCGTCCAATCGCGCAAAGGGATCGAAAGAGAGCGCGAAGCGTCTGCGGTCTCCCAGTCCTGGATGATCTTGCGCCAGGCCTCTTTACCAGATACGGCGGGGATTATCCAGGCGGGATTTGTGCGAGTGGGTGCCGGCGGCGGCAATGGCTGGTAGGAGGTGACCTGTGGTGAGGCTAGAGGCACGGTTGGGAAGTGAAGATTTAGGGGATGCGAGACCAGCGCATCACGTCGAGGGGTGGGCAGCTGACTCGCAGAACTAGCACAGGTTGGTGCAAAAGGCAATGTTTGAATTGCCATGCCACACCTGCCCGCAAGGCTCTGCACCGGTGCTGATACCATTTGAGGTGCCGGAGTAGTAGGAGGTGCTGCAAACAGAGGGATAACGGCAGCTAGTGATGAAGCAACCGCCTGTTGGATCAGTACCGGATTCTCCTCTTTGATGCGTGTGAGGAATTCGCCCAGCTCAGCGACAGAGGCAGGGCGTTGCAGTGCAGCCTCACCCATCAGCGAGTGCTCGGCTTCGCGCGATATCGGACATAGAGCGTCTGAATGATCCTCTTCATAATTGTACAACTCATCAAGTAGGTATCTGATCAATGTATCGCGCTGGAACAAAGCCGCCGGTTAGATATGATCAGAAGCATGATCAGAGAAGTCTCGACGCACATGCTCTTTCTCGGCCCAGCCACCCCACCATCGAATACGAGCAAGCGTCCATCGCTCTCCAATCGGCGCGAACATGAATCTGTACTGCGCACCACCTCTCCGATAACAGTGTGTCGTGAATGATCCCGCCCCGCGCACCCCAGCTAGCATAGCAAACTCGTTCAACTCCTTCTGTACCAAGTCGGAGGACATCGCGCGATGAGGGTGGACTTTGCAATCAGTGCCGATGAATGGGAAGGCGTAGTCCTCGGGCTGCAGCGCTCTTCCCAGCAGCAGCTCGTAGAAGTCGAACCAATCAAGCAGGTGCGTATACATATCGGTCGTGGGGGTCTTTGGCTGGGGGTAGATTTTGTAGTTATGTCCTATTCGCGAGGTTCAATGTGAGTCAGCCCATTCACACCATTGCGAAGGCCAGACGCACCGCACACCGACTGATTCTTATCCTGCTTGCGTTGCCAGTTCTTCCGATTCGTCAGATTGACTTCGAAATGGGGAGGGTCGAGCGGAGACCCTCCCTTCCGACGCGCGTCGTTGAACTCGAAGTGCTGATACTGTAAGCGTGTTGTCTCGCAGTTCCTGGATATCCCGGTGAGTACGTGATAGCTTTGCAAAGCTCAGGATCTCAGTACTACCTTGTCCAGAGCGTGAAGCCCAGAGATGCACGTGCACGAAACCGCAAGTGGATGGCCTGCCTTTCCACTACCACGAGGTCTTCCGGCAGATGCGACCATGTCTGTGGTGGGCAGAGTGCGCTTGACCATGCATACAGCTGCTCTATGCATTTCTTCGACATGGCAAGTGAGTGCTTTCGATCGCCGCCATCAATCCCATCTTTATGCTTGATTGATAGCATCACGTCTTCGACTTTAGCAGATCGCACCGGATTCCCTACCCACATGCGGCGGGACTCGTCATAGCGCCATCTCCCCCGGTACGTATCTGCGTCCCTGGGGTACACATCAGCTGATACAATCGATAGTACTTCAAAGCAGGGCGTAAACGTACATCTGGTCATATTCACGGATCAGTGCGGCGTGTATCTGCACTGCTGTAGAGTTCTTCAGATCTTGCTCAAAGCATTTATACACAAGGTACATTGAGATCGCTGTCGGTGTATATTGTCCTGGTGGTCCGTCTAATGCTCTCTGGAACTCAGGGTCCCTAAAGAGCGAAGCTGATTCTGTTTTCTCTAGACCTGCCAGGGACTCCCCTTTCCCCGGTTGCACAAGCCCGGCAACCAGCCCTTCCCTCTCTGCCGCCTTCTCCTCAGCGAAGAAGCTTGCAAGCCATTTCTGTGCATTGTTTGCCTGCTGCTGATACTTTATGGTCGTATTCCGAGCATGTAAATACTCATCTGTTTTCTCTTTCCCCAGAACCTGAAGTTTGGCAAGGGTTGCAGGTGTGGACGGCAAGTTGGATTTTGCCTTCTTTCCAGCAGCTTTTGCCTTAGCGGCAGCCATAGCAATAAAGGGGAGGGGACGGAGATGAAGGGCAGGAGACCCATGCCATTTTTGCCTGCAGAGCCACCCACTGTAATGTGAAACATGGCTGTCCGATCACTGACATATGCCGCGATCTCGATACCTTCGTGACAGTAGCTGTATTACCCCTTCACTTCCTAGAACATATATTGCATCTTGACATAGTAGAACATGTACTATACATCATTTATATATATCAATGCATGCTCATGTTAAAACACAACAATCGACCCCTCAAGACCGCTGAAGCAGCGGACGCGAACGTGAATGCATCGCGCGCGATCTTTGACTTCGGGAGTGTTTTCTCAACCACAACGGTGCGAATCTTCTCCTTGGCGTCAAACATGAAGATATTACCTGTATTGGGAGGCATCGGCGGCAAGGAATACGCGGGCGCGGAGGATTCGGAATACAAGACAGGGTATCGGGAGTGAGCGGCAGCAGATGGGATACAGTTTCTCATAGGGAGGTGGGGATGGGCGGTGGTGCCAAGGGATTTGATGAGGAATTTGAGTGAACGGGGAAGCGGCGGCACGTTGACGTTGGGGACAACACACCAGGCGGGCTGCGATGACAGTGATGGTGGCACAGTGTAGGTCGGATAGGGCCACGGGCCATCGGAATCCATCTTGACCTTGGCCTCATACTCCTTCAGGAACGACAGCTCAACGTTGAGAGCTCAAGCGTCTAGTTGATGATGATATCACCCCCATCTGGCGGCATTGGCGGTGAAGAGGACATGGGCGAGGAGCATAGGGGATGAGGACGGGGACGGGTGGCGGCGGGAGAGGGTTTGACGAGAGCTTGAGGCGGCTTTCCGGGTGGCGTGGATGAAGGGCGGGAGTGGTGGTGGGTTGACATCGGGGATGACAGGCTGGGCGGGCTGCGACAACAACGGTCGCGGCACGGTGTACGTCGGGTAGGGTCCCGGGCCGGCAAAGTCCTTCTTCACCTTTGCTTTGAACTCCTTCAAGAGCAACGGCTCGATGTTCAACTCCCAATCGAGGCAGCTGCGCATCACCCGCCATTTGATTGATCTCCCGCAACACAAACATACCCTGACCCATGATGCACCACGACTTGTTCGAGTACGTATCGTCGCAGATGACCTTCGACACAATCATGGAAGCAGAAATGAAGAGTCGGTCGCCCGACGAGCCGCGCGCGGTGGGAAAGCGGGCTTTTAGGCGTTGGAGAAGGTAGATCCCCGCAAATATGATGGCTGAGTGTAGTCCGGCGCAATGGAGGGTGTAGGCGATGAATCGCCAACAGGGGCGAGGGCGCCGAAGGCGACGACGTCGTCGAGGGTGGCGGGTAGTCGGGGCACACAAACAGGTGGGTGATGAACCGCGCACATAGCGTCGCGGTCGACTCGTGCCTGTAAAAGGGTCTGCAGGGGTGGGCTACGCCACGGTCAGCGGTCAGCCTTCAATCAACAGTTCATTTTCTGCTTACCTTGCTACCGCTCGGGTTAGTTTGTGCTGGTGGGCCCGACGGGCGGCTGATGCTCGCTGACGCGTGGCTGGCCGGTTCACCTTAATGGCGGCAGACGTCGAGCGGAAGAGCATCGGGTGGGACATCCTGAACAGGGACAGATGGGCTGCGATGACGGAACCGTGGACGGCAGCCATGTTCTAGGGGAGGACTTGGTTGGGAAACGGGGTGGGAAGGCGTCAATAGAGGGCTGTGGCACGGCGATTCAGCGAGTGTATACGCAGAGTAAGGATGTGTTGGCGAAGCAGAAGGCCCCGAAGCATTGCGTGGATAGCGCGGCATAGCTAGGTGATCTTATCATCGCCAAGTGATTGCGGACGTGAGCGCAAGTCGCGCGTTAAATCGGGCTCCGACGGACGCGTCGACGCATCGGACGTCGCTGACGGGTTGGCGTCGCGTCGTGCTCCTTACCAACCTCGTGAACCGAATCTGTATCACTGGACTGAGCCCTTCAAGCCAGCCCTGGCCGGGCCGGGGAAGCAAACGTTGCGGCATTGAAGCAGGTAGAGGGCGGCGAACGTGGCGGAGGTATGAAGTTGCGTGCGGCGGATGTCGTAAGATGTACAATCTGTTAGCGGGGAAGATGGCGTCGAGCGCGACTAGCGCTCGTGAAATGGGCCTGCAGGGGCGCTACGTCACGGTCAGCGAACGGCATTGAAGAGGGCTTAGGCTTCACATACCTGGGTGAATTTGGGCGGGAATGTTCGACAGGTGGCTGATACGGCTCAATGTGTGGGGGTGGATGTCTGCGCTTAGCGGCCGCGTTTAGCGGGGAGTAGGGTTGCAACCTAGGAATTGTTAGCATGCGTATGGCGCGATAAGCCCGGCGCGGGTAAGCTGGCTATGGAAGCGGATCCCCAAGTTCGGGGTTCCAGGGACCAGGCCAGCCGGGTCGCGAGGGCACTCGAGCAACGTACCAGCTATCATTTTCCTACATGTCGCCCCCAGCGCCCTCCTCGCCTCCTCGCAAATCCTCTGTGCAATCAAGTTCTGCATGTGTGTAACCCTAAGATAGGGTTCCCACGGTTCGCGAGAAAACAACGTAGAGTTCAGTGACATGTGCGTAGTGCAAAGCCTGCAGAAAACTTCACCTGTGAATCCGGTATGATCTAATCTGGCGTGCTGGTGGATAGCAGGAGGGAGTGGCTTTTAAGAGCTTCGAAAATAATATCAGTATCATATTAGTCGACATATCAAATGAATGGTTCTGCAAGGGCGCTAGGATTCCAGTAGCCAGGGTATATGCAGAGATGGTTGACAGGGAGAATGTGAACTGGTACATCAAGGTGTTCAGCTCGCGAGCATATCCGTCGACACTAGTGTTGCAGTCGGCGACGAGACCAGGTTCAACCTGATTTCAAACTCCGACTCAAATCGTGTCTCGGTACTCCGCTCCCGGTGGCTGGAACTTGATTTCGCATGCTTTTGTGGCTTGCAAGAAAGCTGATTATGACTGTGGATATTTCGGAATGCATTCATCAGGTGTATTTATTGATGTGCTACAGTTCTACCAAGATATCTACCCCATGGATTGATTTCTCAGTGCATCCTAGCGTTGCCGGCTTGCAATTTAAGCGGTAAGAGCCAGTAAGAGGGGGTAAAACTGGCAGACACTTACATTTAACTTAAATCCACGTGAATTTAAGATGCACGTGAGCCTGATTTATGCAAACGCGGAGGCGCACAGCAACGCGCATACATATGTGTTCAGTTCATTATTATTATAGTAGATGCTTTATTATGCAGTTAGCGGCGCGCAGCAGGTGCTGTATCTCAAGGCAACATTCACTGTATTGAGCAATGCTACTGCTAGTATGCAGCATCTACGAAATAGTACATGACACGTCGCATCGGTAAACATGTCCCTTAAACATGGGCAGTCCCCGGAAATCTCCGACTAACTGACAATGCATTACTCACGTCCTGTGTCCAAGGGCCCGACAGGAAATGGGGTGTCGCCAATGGGGATATCCCTTGCACCTCCAGACGCCCCTCGTAGCAAGATGGCACGTTTGCCATCAGTTATGCATCCAGATGTCAGCAGCAGCAAGACAGTAGAGCGTTGTACAGACTTACCTCACAGTATCGTGAACGCCACCAGCACGCTACGCAGGAGAAGCTGTTTGCGTGCTGAACGCACCGCCGCCTCCCGTTGACGAACCGCCCCCGAACGTCTGTGAACCCGTGGTCATGCATCTTGCCGCTGTGTCCAGCAAAGGGCCTAACTCGCTGTACAACTTCAGCCGCCGGGTCTTAACTCACAATCTTCTGAATATGCTCACCTAAGCAACTGGAGCCTGTGAATGACTTGGGCTGGGTGGATCCGAGATATTCTCAGCTTGCCCCGTCGGCGCGCTGCGACTTGTCAGACGCGGAGGAGACAGGCGCACTGATTTAGCGCGCGACCCGTTCTCTGTATGCAGCATTTGCGGGAGTTATGGATGGTGGTACTGGACAGAACGTATTTGCTACTTCATTCTGTGGGTGAAGGGGGCATGTGCGCCAGGGGAACGAGAAGGGGAGGGAGTGATTCCTCGCGGACTGGAAGAAGGTGCATTCGAGGAGGAGCGGGCGGGAGGGGGGGGGCGGCGACGAATGTCAATAACGCGGGTCTACGCACCGCACGTTCTGCAAGACGCGCGAGCAATCTGCATCTGAGTTGCTGTCTAACGGAGAATTCAAGATCAGAAGGGTGTAGAGACACGAATATAAACTCATCTAATCACAGATGCATGCAACACATTGTGCATAGCATCTTCTCAGTCTCGCAGAAAGCCCAACCACGTACGAAGGACGACCAGCCGCGATAGGGTTAGGGCTCCTCGGGAACGACAGCGACGACGTGAAGAGCATGAACCAGACCGACGAACGCCGGCTGACAAGCTCGCAGGACGTGTCGCTATTTTCGTCTCAGAGGCAGGCACGGTCGCATCGTGCCGGGATCCCGGGGTCACGCCAAGCGCGACCTTGACAGCACTTGACCCTCAATTTAGGGCGCTAAACTGGTAACTTAAATGTTCGCGATTAAAGTGACTTACCTACCCCACATGAATGATGCCCGGTTTGGTCCACGATACTTGATCATCCATACACAGACCTCTAAATTCTCGCCTCCACGATCTCCTCGAACCCTGGATGGTAGCCCATACTCTGCAACTGCATCGAGAAACAGGTTGAGAACTGTGGAGGCACGATTATTTGTGTTGACCTGTATTCCGACAACCTTGGGGCAAATCTCAGCTCTAGTAAAACCCGATCAGTCAAAGGGCACTCACACTCCGACAGAATCCATCCACAATGCCATGAACAACAACACCCCACTGTATGAGCTTATGGTAGCCATCCATATGCCACAGATAGTTAGGACGAGGGACATTGTACTCTCGCCGATCAATAGCTTCATGGTTACGGAGCACTTGACCCAATCCATCAATACGTCGGAGTGAAGTACATACACAATGCTTCTGGACTCTCAGCCCATGACTCTTCAGGAAGCCAATTACATAGCGCAAACCAGACATCGGTCGATGTTTCTTGTAGAGTCGAACAAGCAGATCAATGTCATTGTCCGAGATGTCAGAGAATCGCTGGTAGACACCATAGAGCTTCAGCTGCTTTCTCACAGCATTTCGATGCATGCCAAGGAGATCAGCAAACTTCTGGATGCTGTTTTTATGGTGTGTAGACATTGCTTCATTGAGCCAGGTGGGATTGATAACCTTCCGAGGACGCCCATGGCACCCAGTCCGGATGATGGTGACAGGATTGAAGTGGTGGACCTTGGCTTGCTCACTGACTAGGGTAAGCATGAACTCTAGCAGCTATATGGTGATACACGTACACGCCATCCGCTGCGAAAGCTGCCCATTCCAAGTCTACAGTAATCTTCGCCAGCGCGTGAGCACATCCAGAGCTCCAATGCTCATCAGTGACCTCTTGATCTAAAGCCTCTAGAATAGGGATCATCCTTTTCAGAATCCGTTCCGAGTGGATACAGAGCTGTAGAGGGTCTCCATCTTCCTGTCGTAACAGTCCGAGGCACGGGCATACGCATCGTGAAGAATTTGATGGGCCCGAAGAACATTAGCAGACCAGACTGTGCCATCAACAGAAGGAGGCAGAGGAGGGAAGACAGCAGGATGGGGTGTATCCATAGAGTGCACATAAGATGTTTGTTGGATTCAGGACAGATTGGAAGTGTGACATACCAGATTGGGCAGTGGCTGAGAAACTGTGACACTGCTCATTCCTGCTATGTCGGCTAAAACTCACCACCCATACTTTTATTACAAGGACGGGTCATTCAGAATGCAGGTAGAGTCTACTGGGATTTTTTATTAACCATTGGACATATACTAAAGACGTAGTGTAGCTGGGGAACACTCTATATAACCTGCATCTTAGCCTTCTCGCCGAACGCTCTACAGTCTTCAGAAATATGCTGATGATGCCATCACCGGTTGGAATAGAAGTTGAGGGAAGCTCGGATGAGAATCTGATGGTGCTGCCAGCAACAATAGAGCAGAAGGAGTTTGACATCCTGCTTGAGTACATGTTTAGGGGGTACGTGTTAGTCGTTCCAGCAGAAAATCACAGTTAATGGAAAAACAAGACGTACAGCTGCTCCTCCAAGCCTGGACAACCTGATTGTGATCCTGAAGCTGTCAACAATGCTAGAAATCGATGATGGAAGAACCTATGCCATCGACCAGCTGTCGAAGAGGGCAGACCTGACCTCAGCTCTTCAGTTTCACCTCGGATGTGCACACCATGTTACTGAATGGGTGGAGCCTGCCTTTCGGGCGTTGATGAAAATACCATTCAAAGATATCTCGAGGGAGATCGCTCACCTCATGGGACCTGACGCCTTTTACATCCTCTCTCAAGCCCACACTGCGATCAGAGACCACCTGAACATCCTCACCTTCTATCCTTCCAATCCTATCGAGAGCGTCCACTGCTTCCGGCCAGGCAGATGCACTGAAGCCTGGATTTGGAAGTGGTGGCAGGGAGTCGCAAAGCACCTGCTTCACCCTGACTCAGGAAAGTCAGGTAGAGAGATCTTGGGGATGCTGGAAGAGGTATCGATCCCAGGGATGTGTCGGAATTGTCAGAAGGAGAATGTTGACTAGGTGAAGCAGACAGGAGTGATGACGAAGGCCGACGAGTACTTTGAGGGGGCAGTGGAGCAGATCGTGGCAGCATATGGGAGCAGGGACAAGGGTAAGGCAGCAACAACTGCTCTTGAGGATGATGAGGCCTAGCGATGGTACCCCAAGAGTAGCTGTGTTCGCTGTAGGAGCCTAGATATGTGCAGTCAACAAGTTATGTGCGTGTTCAGTGAATGTGTGCATATTTGGTTGTGTTGTATAAGCATTTCCATTTTTAGGGAAAATGGACCGTCATACTTCATTGACTGTAGCAAGCCTCAGAATATTTAATCTCAGTGTCTGACATCCCCCACCCCAGCTCCCTTGGTGTCACATGACTATAGGATGCTATCATCCCCCGTGTAAGTTCTATAATGCCCATGTGTATGTAAGTTGGGCTACAGTAGCAGTCCAGAGTGGCCACCAGGCTGTGAGCAACAATAAGAGAGCTCAATGAAGAGCCATGGACTGAGGAACAAAAGTGGCATCTGGAGCAAGTCACCATACCCGGATTCAGCTAATAGGATCTTGGTATTCCCATATCTACCTTCAGTTTCCTGGTACTTCTCTATAGAGGATGAGGGTATCATGTGCCACAATTCAAGGCTGCTATGTGGTCACCTTGGAGTCTCCATGTGAGACAGTATCTCCCCATTTTGTAACTAAAGAAATAGCAAGAAGACCTTTGTTATGTTTCCACTGCCTGAACTGCACTTAGACTGGCCCAGCATCAGAGTCAATTCCGAGACAACGGCTCCAGCCTTGGATTATGCCAGGAGACATACCATTGTTTACTAACTACAGGCAAGTTGTATAAGCCACTGGGTCTGTAGTGACACATTTATGGTGGGCTGTAGCTCGAATCATCGCAGTCTGGCATGAGGAGCAGCGTTGAGCACCGGCCTCAGGCCATCCGCCGTGTCCGAAGTCATGAGACGTCTTTGCTATTGCACCCCCGCGTAAACACGACCAAATATTACCTTTTCGAGAAGAATATCATGTGACCTCCGACCCCTCCGGCCGCGTCACTAAAAATAACTGGACCCAGCCGTATTAAGTAAACGCCAATTACATTGCCATCATATTGTTTTGATGCGTCAAATTTGTATCGCTTTCTTAGTGTAGTGGTTATGCGGCATGTATTGAGTGCAGGATGTCTGGAGTTCAATTCCTTCCTGTGCATTTTTTTTGATTTGTGCTTTTAGGGTTAGGGTTTATTAACTTTCCTTACTGTTGGCTTTTATATCTACCTTGTCAGCCACATTATCACAGCTATATAGATTTCAATGAAAATTTATTTTGCCCCATCTATATGACCCTCCAGACTTGAAGATGCTCTAACCGGCCGCACACGCGCGCGGCGGGAAGCCCGCGTTTGCCGGCATCACGTGACATTCTTCTTGATATGGTACATTTGTACGTGTTTGCATGGGGGCGCAGTAAAGCTACCTGTCGCGAGATGCCACAGCTTGCCATTTACAGTAAGCTTTACCGCTGATAAGCCTCAGGATCGTCTGACCCCTGAAAACGCGGACTCAGCACATTGTACAAGCCCCCCGGAGCTTATTCGACACAGCACTCACACGCCTCTAGGCTTCTATGGGCTCTAAAAGAATTTTTCTATTTAGCTCCGGACTTCCTAGCATCCCGAGACGTACACGGACCCATTCCGAGATTTATCTCCGTAAACGTGAGCTCCGGGGTGACTTAACCTATGCAACTTTTAGATGAATTAGCTCCGGGGCCCGCGGATGCTTCTATCGAGGGGCGTCATCCTCATGCCCACCCTCCAGCACACTCCCCCTCTCGTTTCCATCAAAATACCGAAGGTGCGGACGCATACGAGTCACCATGAGGCCAGCATCAGTCAGCAAGTGGCCGGAGGTAATTAGCACGTGACCGGCGCGTCGCACGGAGTGATGGGACCGCTTGGGCCAGGTGGCAGAGCATCGAGGCGACCTCTAGGGGCTGAGACGAGCAAGTGGGAGTGCAAGAGAGTCGTACGGTGTATGGTATAACAGCGGCAAGTGCTGAGCAATCCTGTGGGTAGCGGCGTTTATTTGTTATTTATCTCCGGACTGTTGCAAAGCCATTCCTGTCATATAAATTGTACAAAGTAGCATACAGAAAAACAAGTTTTGCACTTCACCATCTCAGAGAATTAATGTTACAATCTCAGCGACCCTCGAAGTTCGAAAGCGTCGAACTTAGCGAATTATAACCGATCCTAGCTTTGCCAATAGGCCTGACTCGTCGAGTGATTTATCTCCGCCGTCAGTTTAATTATCTCCGGTGCGTTCTACATAGCGAAGTAAAATTAACCAAGTCTCTCTAGCAATTTCTAACCCCGCGAGCATGATCCTACGACAGGTGTAGTTGCTTGCGACTTTGATTGTGACTCTTCGGAGATAAATATTCCGGAGCGTCAACTAGCATTTGTTTTAGGCGTCAAAGCGTTTGTTTTATTTTTCTAGGTCTTCCTACGGACTACCCTATAGCGTCTTAACTCCTCCTTTCCCCCTCGAACTATTAAATACCCCTCAGTTGTCTCGGACCGCCTTCACCCACATCACGGGGTTTAGGTGCATTTCTTTTGGTCCTTGGTGATTGTTGTGTGTCAGTGCATATCACCGCAAAAGTCAAATGACACTGTGGGACAGGGAACTGTCTTTTGTATTATAGATAGTATACTAGTTGTAGTAAGACTGCCGCGATCCCCGGTACGACCGCTGGTGTCAATCAGCGAGCAATCCTGAGCCTTGTTAGGCTTGACCGGGGGTTCAGATGAGCCAGCCTAATTAGGCCTGGGACCTGGGTAGTCTCCCGAAGTCAGACCATATTGCCTCCCTTATAAGGCAGGTGGGGGCAGTCGGCATATAATGCACTGGGTACATCACCCATATTGAGCATGCACAAAACTTTGAAAATAATCAGTCAAAGGTCAAACTTCTTTCATGATTGTCCATTGCACAGTCAGTGAATGAAATGAATTAGAATAATACTACTTTTGAGTGCGCAAAAATTTGATTGTGACACAGGATATGATCTTTGTTCAGCACTGTTCATTGAACTTTCATTTGTTTTGCAAGGCAACACTATGAACAAAATTTGACCTTTGTCCGGTTCCTTTCACACTTTCTCGGTGGCTCAGTATGGGTATTGTACCCAGTGACGGTCTGCTTCCAGTCGCGCCTGCCTTGGCTGGCTCACGGATTTCAGTTTCACGTGATACTTCGCACGGCCTCCTCCCCTGCTCTCGATGCTGTTGCATGGTGTACACCACTTGTCCTAGGGAACGTGGTGCTCTTGAGGGGCTACGATAAGATCAATACAGATGTAAATACCCAAATATAATTTTTTATGGTTTAAAGCTTGTGTTTCAAAGGTACTATAGCACTACTATCCATCATGCAAGCAGCCTCAGGAGAAGACTCCGGCACCAAGAAGCGGTCCTACACTGAGCGAAAGACTGTCGGGCAGAAGCCCACGCCAAATGCCACGATCCGTTCCCAGAACGGTCTGTGTTCGAGAAGTGTCTTGAAGCCTCTCAGGCAAAGCTGCTCCGGTGACAGCATAAGCATTGACACGCCGGCGCGTGCCGTTTTACACCTTCATGCATTGTATTGGAATTAATTGCTAATGTCTTGATACCATATTTGCTCATATTGGAGGCCTGAAACTCGCAAGTCAGGCAGAAGGAGATCTGTGACAGCTCATCACATACCATCTGTTCTTCTAAGCCATTCGTAGGGCACACTACAATTATTATAGGGTCTTTTGGAAACTTAATGCCATTCGGAGAGAGTGATGGATTACAACTGATGTAAAGAACCACCAAAATATACATATATAGATAACCGGTCTTGCCATCGCCCGTAGCAGTTATCGCGAAGAGATCAACACCGTCAAGTGACTTGCATACCCCTTCGAGCTGGTAGTCGTGAGGATCAAAAGGAAGAAGTTGTTGAAGGACGCGGCGAGTCCATAGTAGGCCCTCAGGAGATGAGAGGATGAATTTCGGCGGTTCAGGAGGGTTTCGCATGCAAACGAGCGTAGGAGAAGCACAGACTCGCTGTATCAACACCGACGCGTCTCAGACGCGTCGCCTCATTATGGGCATCACGTGATTGTAAAAGTACCGAATATGCCTAATGTGCCAAGTGCCGCGCGACTGGATGCTGGGCTGTCTAATAGGTGAGGACAAAGCCATATTTGGTCACAGGCTTACGTCATATGTTTAGATCCTCTCTCGTGATAGATAAGATCTCCGTCTTCGACTCGACTCGCCTTTGCATCCAAAACAAACCCAAGGCCCTTGGATATGTTCAAGAAACCCCTGGGAGATCTCAAAACATCTGGTATGTCATACGCAGTCCTGCCGATATCGCGGTACTAGCTGCGTGGCAGCACCGCTCCGCTCGAGCGACCGACGCAAGCTCAAGCAGCGCATCGCGGACACGTTCGGATTGTCGCCTGAGGACGCACAACTCCTCGTCCCCGAGGGGCTGAAGAGCGTCAAGTTCGAGAATCATCAGGGAAAGCCGGGGGTGCGTGGCCTGTCTTCTTCTCAATTCGCACCGCTTACAGCACGACATCACAGGTAGCCTACCTCTCGCACGACGGCGACCCGCTCTGGTTCACATTGGGCAAGGGGTCTGACGACCTCATCCCCACAGGCAAGTCTCGCGCAAAGGACGCCCGTAATCTCACGTTCATCTGAAACAGTATACTCTCTGTGGAAGAAATACGACCTCCTGCCAACACTCACGACGCCACAGGCCGTCATGCCGCGCATTCAGGACGGCGCGGACCTAATGATCCCAGGCGGTGCGTCCTATCCCCTCCCCCTTTACCCATCGAAACGAAGCAAAACCTGACTAACGCTTGTAGTCAGTGGTCTCCTGGCCGTCCCCGCTCTCGCCTAACCAGCTGGTGTCCATCTCAAAATATGTCGGCGATAAGGGCAAGCGCGCACCGCCGTTTGCGGTGGGGAGGGTCGAGGAAGGTGTGGATGAGAAGAAACTGGGGGAGGAGGGCGCGAAGGGGAAGGCGGTGGGCGTGCTGCATGCGTGGAAGGATGGCTTGTGGAGTGTCGGGCATGGCGGGGAGATGCCGCCGGACGTGGAAGTAGTGGACGGGCAGGGTGGTGAGGGAGGGGAGAAGGCAAGCGAAGCCAACCCTCCCCCGGCTAGCGCGACGCATTCCCCCGAATCTCCTACCCAGGCTACCCACGACCCAACCAATACCGAACCCAATCCCACCGAGCCCGCGTGCACCCTCACCCCAGACGGTACTCCCCTCTCCCTCCCAATATACACCCCACTAACCCCCCTAATTCCCCAGAAATCACACAGAGCCTGCGCACAGCCCTCCTCCTCTCGCTCACCTCCCCGCCCCCGCCCGGCGCTTTCCCCATGCCCGCAAGTACCTTCTACACCTCGCACGTCCTGCCCTACCGCCCCGCCCACCTCGCCTCCTCCCCCACGCCAGTCGACGTCAAACACTCCTCCCTGAAGTCCCTCTCCGCCTTCCTCAAAAGCTGCGAAAAGGCCGGCTTGGTCACGCTGAAGAACCAGAAGGGTGATATCGTAGTTACTAGCGTGAACAGCCGGCACGAAGAGGTACTGGGCGTGGGGAAGTACAAGACGGTGAAGGACGTGGAGGAGTGGGAGAGGAAGAAGCGGGAGCGGGAGGCCGAGGCGGAGCGGGGGAGGGCGGAGAAGGAGGTCGAGGTGCGCGAGTATTACAAGCCGTTCGGGCAGACGCTGGCGTGGTTCGCGGCGGCGGGGCAGCAGTGCGTCTAGCTTCCGTCCCTCTGCACCAGCCTACAAATTAAGCTGACAGGTTGTATATAGGCCCGGCACGCTCTTCCTCCTCCCGGATCTGCGCGCGCTCCTCAACGCGTACATCGCGTCGCACAACCTCGTCAACCCGCACGAGCAGCAGTTCGTCAACGTCTCGGCCGACCCGCTGCTCCTCGCCGCGGTCACCGGCCCGCTCCCCGGAAAACCCAAAGGGCAGGCGGAGGTGGTGGAGTTTCTGAAGCGTGAGGAGATAATGAAACGCTTGGTGGAAAGAATGCAGGCGTGGTACGAGATTCGGGTGGACGGGAGGGAGGGGGAGGTAAAGTGCGCGCTCTGTTTTACCCTGTTCTTATGTCTGCGGTGCTGAGTTTATTGCTTTGGTGCACAGGAAAGGCGCCCTCCCGCCCATCACGCTCACCCTCAAGTCCCGCCAGAACAAGCGCAAGACGGTGACGATCGTGACGGGCCTCGAACCGTTCGCGGCGGTGGTAGGCTCGCCGGAGGAGGTCGCGGAGGGGGTGCGGCGGTCGGGGTTCGGGGCGAGCGGTCAGTGTCCTTTCTTCATCTCACCCCGCTGCCCACGGTTCCTCGTCTAAGTACTGACATGTGCGTTGCGGAGAACAGTGAGCGCGATACCGAATAAGCCGAATACGTACGAGATCCTGGTACAGGGGAAGCAGCAGAAAGTGGTGATGGACCTGTTGCTCGCGAAGGGGGTGCCGAAGCGGTGGATCGAGGTGGTGAATTTGACGAAGTAAGTTCGCGGCCCTAAGGACGCGTTCATGGTCAGTTTGCAGTTGGCCCGTATACTCCAAGGTCTGGCCGATTGATTGACACGGATTCTAGATCGTGTGCAGGGTCCCTGGCAGCGGGTTTGGCGCTTGCGTAGACTCTCGGAAAAAATACGCAGGTTCCTGGAGTTGCTGAACGGGTTAATGAAGAAGAATTGCGTATTGTATGCTAGCTTGAAATTGGATGCGAGGAAATTGACGTTGTGATCGTTCCTCAGACACGCCGGGCCCGGTACCTCTGGCTATGAAAATCGACGCATATAGATCGCACTGTCCCTCCTTGATTAACACCAATGCGCACATCATTAGTCATTGACAGCTGTTGCCAATGCTCAGACACACCCTCCATAGTCCGCCCCTCACTCATGCTCTTGAAGGCCGACGCATATAATACGGACCTGATATGATGCCATCGTAGGTACCCCCGAACCAGCTATGGATGCGACTGCCATATCTTAACGCCCAACGCACGCGATCAACCGCCGATAGATGCTGCTCTATGCGGAACCTCTAAATCTGCTCTATAGAACGTCCCTCTTACACGGATAACGATAGAATGGTAGTATATCGCGTCAGAAGAAGCACGCATTCAGACGACTCGCTCACGCACATCGTCTTCTTTCCTTCCGAAGGCAGATAACGTAGATATCATATGAACAGGTGCAAGCGAGCGCGGGCCACCCTCCTGCGCTTTTGCTCGGAACCATGGGCAGCGACTACAAGGCCGAAGCTGACACGACGATCGTGACGGACAAGTCTCTCGAGGGCTTGGACACTGACCATGGCTATGAGGACACACCCGAGTTCAAGCAGGACCAGACGGGCGCGCCCGTGGAGAGCGTCAGCCCGCTGGGGTACGACGTTGGGTGGCTCGGTATCCTCTTCCTGAACGTGTCCATGATGGTCGGCACGGGCGTCTTCTCCACGCGTGAGTCGTCTCTGCATCCGTTTCTTGCCTGCGACTGAACCTTGGAGTGCGTCGCAGCGGGAACAATATTGAGACTCACGGGCTCAGTGGGTCTGAGCCTGATGTACTGGGTGATCGGGCTCCCGATCGCTGCTGGTGAGCAGACCTTTGCTGTGCATCCGGGGTGTGTCTTTCTGAGCCGGTGAACCCAATACAGCCGGGTTGGCAATATACATGGAGCTCGCCTGCATGTTCCCGAACCGCTCGGGGGCGGAGGTCGTCTACCTCGAACAGGCGTACCCGCGGCCCAAGTACTTCTTCCCGGCGGCGTTCGCCGTGCAGTCGGTCATACTCTCGTTCTCTAGCAGCAGTGCGATAGGTACGCGTCCCTGCCAGTGACATTGACTGCTTGTTGAGCGACCGACGTCTGCAGTGCTTGGCCAGTATCTCTGGTATGCAGGTGGGGTGGAGCCCACGAACTGGCAAGAGAAAGGTCTCGCAGTCGCGGGGATGACCGTTATCCTCTTGAGTGAGTGCGCAGCTCCGGTCATCCCTCTCTCTCCCCAGCACTTCTGAGCACAAGGTCATACCGCCCGCAGTCACCTTGATCTCGAACAAGTTCGCGATGCGCCTGTCCAACGTAATCGCCGCCGCAAAGGTGGTCATCCTGGTCTTCATCGCGATCACGGGCCTGGTGGTGCTGGGTGGGCACACGAAGGTCGAGGAGCCGCGTGCGAACTTCCATAACATATGGCAAGGCACGTCGAGCAATGGTTACAACCTCGCAAACGCACTCGTCAAGATCAACTTTTCCTTCTTCGGCTCGACGAACGCGTTCAACGTCATGGCGGAGATCAAGGTCAATCCTCACTCCTCTCCCCTTCGCCTGCGGCACGCAAGCTGACACGACCAAAAAATGCAGAAACCAATCAAGACGATCAAGGTCGCCGCGCCCGTGTCGCTCGCGATCGTCGCGGTGCTGTACAACCTCGCGAACGTCGCATACCTCGCCGCGATCCCGAAAGCGCAGATGGCGTCCTCGGCCGAGCTCACCGCGGCGCTGTTCTTCAAGAAGGTGTTCGGCTTTTCCGCGGGCGCACGCGCGCTCCCCGCGCTCATTGCCGTCAGCGCGTTCGGGCACCTCCTCGCGGACATGATCGGCGGGTCGCGCGTGATCAGGGAATGTGCGCGGCAGGGGATCCTCCCGGTGCGTCCACCTATAACATTCAGTTACCAGACTAGGCTGACGGACGGATGTGGGGCTGGGTCTATGTGGGTGGGTGGGTGTAGTACACGGCGTTCTGGAGCTCGACGCGCCCGTTCGGGACGCCGCTCGCACCGCTGCTCCTCAAATGGGCGCTGACGTGCATCGTCATCGTCGCGTGCCCCGCGGGCGACGCGTTCAACTTTGTCGTCGACCTGCAGTCCTACCCCTCCCAAGTACGCATCACCCACGTCACTATGTGCTGAACTGACGCACTGCAGATATTTTCGCTGGCGACGACAACGGGCCTGTTCATCCTGCGGCGGAAGCGCCAGCGGCAGGGCATCCGGCGCGTGGAGTTCCAAGTATGGAACGTCGCCGCCGTGTTCTCGATCCTCGTGAATATCTTCCTGCTTGTGATGCCGTGGTACCCGCCCGCGGGCGGGGCCAACGGGGGCGACGTGAGTATCAATAACATTATCCACGCGTGGACTCGCGACTCAGCTTGCGTGCCTGTAGGTGTCGTTCTGGTACGCTACGTATTGCGTGGTGGGTCTCGGGATCATCGCGGCGTGCGCGGGGTACTACGCCGTGTGGGCGAAGGTGCTGCCGTATTTCGGTGGGTACGAGATCCGGCAGGAGGTGATCGCGCTGGAGAACGGGGCGCGCGCGCACCATCTGGTGAAGGTTCCCAAGGGGGAGCTCGCGGAGTGGGATGCAACTCACGACGAGGAGGGCAACGCGATAGAGACTCGCAGTGTTGAGGAGAAAGAGAAGGCGGACGAGCGGAAGAGTGAGGAGGGGTCCGGGGTGTATATTGCTTGAGGAGTGGATGTACATTTAGACACAGATATGATATGAAAGCAAAGAAGGGCCGCAGATGTTCCTCCTCTTAACGAAGTGGGGAGTTTCATCCGATGACTCACTCCTACGCCATCGGTCTCTAGCTCTGTAAGCTCATTACATGGGATAATGAACCTACAGAATGAGAGACGCGCTGTGATACACACATCATATTCACGAGAGCACTCGCATTCAGTCTCAAGGAGGATCAAGAGTCATGTTCGAGCTCTAAACAGGACTAGACACGCCCTTCAGTGCTGAAGTTCGAGTACTATGTTCGGTAATGCCAGTGTCTTTTTCAGGATCTTCCTTGCGCTTCCTGGGTAAGTCGGAAGGCCAATCCAGTTTTCCAGGCAGAGAGCAGAAACCAAAGGAGATTATCCGCACAAGTCAGACGTCCGGGAGCTGTGACCGGCGTCAGTAGGCGTGCTCAATTCTACAATTCAGCTCGAGCAATCGTTCGCGCTTTCGTTCGCGCCAGGAATAGCTCAAGAAGTGATGCGGGAGATGGCCGAATAATCATGTGACTTTCTCCTCCGCGCTGGTTTGGCTCGCTCAAGCTCTCTGTGTAAGTAACCCAAATACAATATATGGTTAGGAATGTACTACTGGGCCTGCGCCGTAGGATGGGGATTAAAGTAATGATGACAGGCACTAAACGTCTGTTCTGTTACTATGTTACCACCATGTAATGAGCTTATTGCCAGTGAATAGGAGACGTTGCAAAACTTTGAAGTTCGAGCCGCTCGAGGGAGCAGACGCTCGGCTCCCTTCGGCAGTGTTGGGCCGGTTGACGCCAGTTAGTTTAGTTGTTTCGTCAACTAAGCAACTAGTTCTACAAAGTTTAGGAACCGTTGACTTTTCGTCAACCTGCCCACGGAGATGAACTTTCCCACCCACTACCATATACGGTGAAAAACCTTAGCTAAGCACATGAGTTCAAGACCATAGAAAGCAACCCATCATT